TTGGCCGTGCCCTGTCGGCTCAGCCAAAGAGGTTGTCTCGACCGTGCCCTGTCGGTTCGGCCAAGGACCAATAGAGAATAGTTAGGATAATAATCATGGTTAACGAAAGACAACACGCAATTAAGGTGTAACCAGCCGATTAACATCGTATTACCTAAATTGGTAAATGTCAGAGAAGGCCCACCCCGCTCAGGCCCATGACAGGTAGTATAAATAAGTCACACGAAACGAGGTATGTCACTGTTCATTTATTACTCTCGAGAATTATGCTTGTCCTGACTTGAGCGTCGGAGTGCCTTTTGCAGGTACCTCCCCCCTCTGAAGCATCAACCCGAAGCTCTCGTTCGGCCCTCCAGTTACTAGAAGACACCTTTTCGCCTAACGTACGACACTGACGCAATGATACCAATCGAAGTTGGGGAGCCCTCTTTTCGGCGAACACACTTCGACGAAACTTCCAATGATGCCTCTCTCCGAGCAGAAATTGACTTAGTCGACGAAGTACGCAATCGGGCTCAAGTTATAGCTGAAGCATGCAAACAAAGGATGACAAGGAGGTTCAATTCTAACCTCATTAGAAGAAACTTCAAAGCAGGAGATTTAGTGTGGAGGGTGCAAGGGACGACAAGGCGTAATCCGAGAGAAGGCAAATTGGCAGCAAACTGGGACGGCCCATTCCGGGTCCGACACAACCTTGACAATGGCGCATATAAGCTCGAAGAACTTTCAGGCAAAGTCATTCCAAGAACATGGAACTCTTCTCATTTGAAGACCTTGGCCGAGTGACAACTTGGGAGGGAAACCTTTTCAGGAAAATCGAAGGTACATCCTTGGCCGAGTGACGACTCGGGAGGGAAACCTTTTGAAGAAATCCAAAGGTTCATCATTGGCCGAGTGACAACTTGGGAGGGAAACTTTTTCAGGAAAACCGAAGGTACATCCTTGGCCGAGTGACGACTCGGGAGGGAAACCTTTTGAAGAAATCCAAAGGTTCATCATTGGCCGAGTGACAACTTGGGAGGGAAACTTTTTCAGGAAAACCGAAGGTACATCCTTGGCCGAGTGACGACTCGGGAGGGAAACCTTTTGAAGAAATCCAAAGGTTCATCATTGGCCGAGTGACAACTTGGGAGGGAAACTTTTTCAGGAAAACCGAAGGTACATCCTTGGCCGAGTGACGACTCGGGAGGGAAACCTTTTGAAGAAATCCAAAGGTTCATCATTGGCCGAGTGACAACTTGGGAGGGAAACTTTTTCAGGAAAACCGAAGGTACATCCTTGGCCGAGTGACGACTCGGGAGGGAAACCTTTTGAAGAAATCCAAAGGTTCATCATTGGCCGAGTGACAACTTGGGAGGGAAACTTTTTCAGGAAAACCGAAGGTACATCCTTGGCCGAGTGACGACTCGGGAGGGAAACCTTTTGAAGAAATCCAAAGGTACATCATTGGCCGAGTGACAACTTGGGAGGGAAACTTTTTCAGGAAAACTGAAGGTACATCCTTGGCCGAGTGACGACTCGGGAAGGAAACCTTTTCAAGAAAACTGAAGGTACATCCTTGGCCGAGTGACGACGGCCGAGTGACGACTCGGGAAGGAAACCTTTTCAAGAAAACTGAAGGTACATCCTTGGCCGAGTGACGACTAGGGAGGGAAACCTTATCAGGAAAATTGAAGGTACATCCTTGGCCGAGTGACGACTCGGGAGGGAAACCTTTTGAAGAAATCCAAATGTACATCCTTGGCCGAGTGACAACTTGGGAGGGAAACCTTTTCTGGAAAACCGAAGGTACATCCTTGGCCAAGTGACGACTCGGGAGGGAAACCTTATCAGGAAAATCGAAGGTACATCCTTGGCCGAGTGACGACTCGGGAGGGAAACCTTATCAGGAAAATCGAAGGTACATCCTTGGCCGAGTGACGACTCGGGAGGGAAACCTTTTCAGGAAAGCCGAAGGTACATCCTTGGCCGAGTGACGACTCGGGAGGGAAACCTTATCAGGAAAATCGAAGGTACATCCTTGACCGAGTAACGACTCGGGAGGGAAACCTTATCAGGAAAATCGAAGGTACATCCTTGGCCGAGTGACAACTCGGGAGGGAAACCTTTTCAGCGAAATTCGAAGGCACGTCCTTAGCCGAGTGACGACTCGGGAGGGAAGCCTTCTGAGCTAATACTCGAGCAAACAGTAAAGAAGAAAGTCCTGAATGAGAGTGAATTGTACTTCATTGATTGGTGTCTCGTTAAAATCCTTGTCGGCCAAAATCCCTTTTCACATATTTATAAGGGTAGAAATGACCGATCAAGGAAAATAGTGCACCTTTGTGTATACATCATTTCAAACATACATCAGCTTCTTTGTCTCTCCCACAGTTTCAGCTCGAGCTTGGTTGCAGAAATCAGCTAGCTCTTCCATTTGCATGTACTTGTCGGCTCGTCGTCGTAAGTCGTCCATGTTGGTCGGTGGCTTCTTGTAGATACTGTTCACAAAAGGTCCCGGTTTCAATGCTGTGGTGAGGTGGTGAAGTGCCACCGCCGGGTTCAGGTCTCGGATTTCCAATGCTGCTTTATTGAATCGGCTCATGAAAGTCCGGAGAGATTCCTTCTTCTCTTGCCGAATGCTCACCAATGCTAGGGAGGTCAATTGATGAGGCCGGCTAGTGGCGAATTGAATGGTAAATTGGGAGGCCAACGTGTTGAAAGAGTCAATCGAGTTGGCCGGGAGTCGAGTGAACCAGCTTAATGCTCGGCCCTTTAGCGATGTTGGAAAGATTCGGCACAGGGCAGCGTCATCGGTAGTGCTGAGGGTAACTTGGGTCAAAAAGACGTCGACATGCTCGTCTAGATTGGTCGTCCCGTCATACTTGTCTAACGGTATGGACTTCCAATGATCAGGAAGTGAAGAATGCATGATGTTTGGGGTGAAGGGGTGTCGGTGTGCTCCGGCCAGCACGGTGTGCATGGGTCGGCCAGGTGCCTGAGCAGTCGAGGCATGGTTTCCCGAGGCGGCGACAGAAGTACGAGGGATGGAGGTATGATGTCCGAGTGAGTGGAATGACCCCTGAGTGTGGGTTGGCTCGGAGGGTATCCACGTGGGATCTTGATTTTGGTGTTTCAGGGCAGCGTTCTCTTCCCTCAAGGCGGCCATTTCGCGAGCATCCTTCTCTCGTTGTTGCTTCATGGCGGCCATTTCCTCCTTCATCTGCCGTACCACTTCGGCCATGTTTGTCTCGTCAACTGTCTCGGCATTGTCTGCCTCGGATCGGTGTTCGTCTTCGGATCGGTGGTCTTCGGTGTTGGTCTTCCTTATCTTTGCCATAATGCTCTCACTCAATTGGTCTTCTTAAGTCTCTTGGCTCGGCCCCACGGTGGGCGCCAAAATATACCTGTCTAAGGGCACACTCGTAGTCTTCTAGTAACTGGAGGGCCGAACGAGAGCTTCGGGTTGATGCTTCAGAGGGGGGAGGTACCTGCAAAAGGCACTCCGACGCTCAAGTCAGGACAAGCATAATTCTCGAGAGTAATAAATGAACAGTGACATACCTCGTTTCGTGTGACTTATTTATACTACCTGTCATGGGCCTGAGCGGGGTGGGCCTTCTCTGACATTTACCAATTTAGGTAATACGATGTTAATCGGCTGGTTACACCTTAATTGCGTGTTGTCTTTCGTTAACCATGATTATCATCCTAACTATTCTCTATTGGTCCTTGGCCGAACCGACAGGGCACGGTCGAGACAACCTCTTTGGCTGAGCCGACAGGGCACGGCCAAGACAACCTCTCTGGTCGAACCGATAGGAAAAGGTTGGGTTGTCCCTAGTTTTCGGCCCTCTACCGAGCCGAGGCCGTGCCGAGAATTGTGTCGAAGTCCGATAGGACATCACATGTCGGTCCACGTGGCCGATAGGACCCTTCCGGTACACAAGCCCCCCATCCTTGAGGAGCGAAGCGACGTAGAGGGTAATACTTTTCTGGGAGGTACACGTAATCTTCTCGTAATCTGAAGGCCGAATAGGTTTAGGCTGCCGAGGATGTCGAACAAGTTTAGGCTACCGAGGGTGTTGAAAAGGTTGAGGCTGCCGAGGGTGCCGAACGAGTTCAGGCTACCGAGGGTGCTGAAAAGGTTGAGGCTGCCGAGGGTGTCGAACGGGTTCAGGCTATCGAAGGTGCCGAACAGGTTCAGGCTGTTGAAGGTGCCGAATAGGTTTGAGCTGCCGAGGGTGCCAAATTAGGTTCAGGCTGCCGAAGTCCGATAGGACATCACATGTCGGTCCACGTGGCCGATAGGACCCTTTCGGTACAGGTGCATATAGCATAAGATTAAAATTCGGGAGATTTTTTGGTTCCATAATCATTTATTACATTGGAAACCTTCTATTTCTTAGTTTCTTAACCTACACGAGAGAAAACCCGGTCTTGTGTTGTAATTATGGTACCGTTACAAGGTGGGTTCAAGACTGTTAGATGAACAAAGTAACATGATGGATTGGACCTAACTCCTAAGATTTGAAGTAGGTAAAAAGTAGTAGTTGATTGGTTGTGTCCACAACTTTATACTGTTACTGAGAATCTCTGGTGCAATTGGTTGTACTTTGCTTCAAAAGCTACAAATACCAACTGCCAACTTCCATTGCTTTCTTCCAAAGATAATTTGTTGCATAGTTGTTGAAACCCGTATTTCCCGTGCAACAAATGCGTATGCAAACCCATTTTTTTTCTCGTCCGTGCCTATTATATTTATTAAACCATGTCATTAATCATTATATATAATTCAGATGCCTCTTCCGTCCCTCCATGAGAAATTCAAAAGTACTCGGTGTATTATCTGTTACAGTAAAGATTATATCTAATTTTGCTTGTAAATTTAATCCAATAGTATTTTATATATTACGTCACATTTTTAATGAATCGTGTGTTGTATGTCAACATTATATTTCTCCTATGAGCTGGTAGCAATCACATGATTTCAGCTTCAACCTGAATGACATCAAGATATTGGGCATAGACAGTTATTACATTGTTAAGAATTCATGATGTTACATGGGGATATCATTACAACAATATGTTAATGCCATCAACAAGAATAATGATACAGGGTAAAACTAATGTTAGTTTAATGACTTCATAACTTAAACTAAACCTATGACATCTAGCAAATGTCTTGAATCATTCGAGGGGCAGTGTGGAATAAGCTGCTGCTGTCGTCACTGTCACCCTGCTGAATGTAAGTTAACCGGTTCAACATACTGAGATCTCCTCCTTCTTTTGGATTCGGGAGATAATCTTATGGCACTCACCTTTCCAAGCTTTACAGAAAACTTACAATTTGCTGGTGGTGACAACCCAGTTGATCCATATTTCCTAGAAGATGAGGAAGACCTTTCTCTTTCTATTTCGGCTTTGTTCTTGTGACCTTTATTAGAGGGCTTTTTTGTTGGAGACTTTGCTCTCTTTTTCGGCAAAAGAATCTGGCCATCCTCCCTTTCCTTAGCCCGCTTGAGGAGCCTAACATGAAAGGGATTTTCAGAAGCGTAGCACACAGACACCCCATCAACTCCATTTCTTTCTAGAGCTACTTCTCCATTGTTTACCTGAAAATATGTAGAACTCACATGATAGATTGAAATAATGGTCCAGGGATAATCCAAGTAATTGGACTCTTCAACGTCAAAAACCATAATAGTAAGTAAAAGTTGAACATATGCACTGGATATTGCTAACAAAGGAATTACCAGTTGAAGAAGGGAAGAGAAACTTCGGGCCACATCATACTTCTCTTGACCCCCGACCAAATCAGAAAAGGATAGGACACCGCTACTGCTTGGTTCAAGGGAGAGCAAGGAGAACTTGTCAAGAATTCTCTCACCATAGTCTTGGATATCAAATGGTGGATGTGATTCCTACAATGCCAAAACAGTCCATTCAATTTAAAGCAATAAAAAGAGAGGGAGGATACCGAAAAGATGAATTCACCTGTTCTTCCAAGTTGTGCTCAATTCTTTGTTTCCACGTTGAAACTCTAGCAGCCATTTCAGTTTGCTTCTCAGATTCAGCAATGCTAGCTAAGAGAGCATTCTAGATAAGGAAAAATGGTAATCATTTTAGTAAAAGATATACCATACCAGTGCAAGGGAAACAGATACTGCAGAATTCGTCAAGGCTACACTCTGGAACTCGAGTTCCTTCAAATTATTGTGTGGAAACAAACGGCAGAGTATACATACTGCTTGTTGGACGTTTGCACTTCATTTAAGTGAATAGTATATCTTGTCTAAACAACCATAAGCACATGCTATACTGGACTTCAATTTCTTTCAGGGTTTAGTAAAATAAATTTTGAATTGGGCTGGAGGGTTGACAGAAGCCTTTTTACGAGATTTCTACAATTGATGAATAACTACTTTTATACCCAAAAAGTCAATGACAATGGCACTCTTACCAGGTGAGAGCGGCAAAGATCTTCCAAACTAGCCTGAGAAAGATCTATAGCTTCATCAATGTTGAAATGAACGTCCTCAAATTCATCCTGTTAATTCAAGTAGATATCCAAATATTATAAGATTAAAATATCATTTAAAATATATAAATAGTCATATTACTGGTCTCCTCTCCTAACCTCTTTACGGAAAGGAGGTATATCTTCTTCCATGTAAGCATTGTCTGGTATATCAAAATCATGATTTCCACTATCATATTCATTGTCATTGTCTTCATTGTCAGCCCCCGAGTTGAAAAATGTTCCACCAGTTTCATTCCCCTCATTAATCAGAGATTGCCTCAGCTGCAATTTACATATCACATTGTATATAATCAAAATTATGTATCGGTAAATACTAAATATAAAAACCATAGAAAACATACCTTCTCATATAATGGAGGTTGAGAATCCCATTGTCGTTCATGCACATGTTGTCGCATCTCCCACATTTCCATGAGCTCTGGACTGATAGGACCATGCAATTTTGCAAGTGGAAACAAGGTGCTCATCGTAACTGGTTGTCTTACATTGAAGTTGTTCTTTTTTAAAGATTTCACTGCAGGAACAACAAAAGGAAAAAATCAGAACGGTAAATTACAAAATTATGGTAAGGCAAGTTGTTGAAGGATGGAGGGGACCTTTTCTGAATGGCTTCACCCTCAAGTTGCCCTGTTCATGAGGATTCAAAGGTTTCCATGGATCATCATTATTGTCATCTGAATTGTCTGAATCCCTAGATGCATCACATCCACCATCCATATTAAATCCATAGTTGCAGTCATTAAGACCAGCAGAAGCAGGAGAACTAGGCTGAATATTTTCGGCATCAGAACTACAATTATGTTTAGGAGAGCAGTTGGAAGTAGCAAACTGACTCTTAGCAGCCGATAATCTACGAGCACTTCCACCAGAACGTGTGGGAGAAAGAAAGCTTTTACGAGTTGAGGTATCTCTGTTAATATCTTTTTGAGTTGTGGCAGCATTGCTTCCCTTAAGAAACTCATTAACTGCAACAGCATCAGACATGTCCAATAAAATAAAGTCCTGGTACAGGTTTGTGGTGGACAACTGCACCAAATCATCATATCATTAGTGAATAAAATTATATGAACATCACTATGCAAACAGATGCAAGCTATTAAGATACCAGAAAAGACTCCAATTCCCCTCCATCACCACCAGAATCAAAGCAGTCACCCTCAAGAACAACTAGATTTGCAGGAGGTTTTATAAAGTGATCCAAATTCACTTCTTTGCCTGCTGTACCATCCAAGGAATTCTTTTCTTCAACTGCAGCATAACAAAAATAAGATATAGACAGTTGCAAATATTTATACTGAAATGATGCAACAATTATGTAAAAGATAACTTGATTTGGACACACTTGATGAAAGACTGATAGGAGACACAGAAGACTGAATGTCAGAAGGGAGAAGTCTATAATGACACACATTCTCAACAAATCTCCGGCTTTGACAGAGGGCCAAAGCAGGGAGAACCTCATTTTCAGAAATACCACAATGACCCAAATTTAATTGATATTGTGCTAATCCTGAACCAAATAAGCCTAACCAATCTTACCATGTAAGAAGATATGTAAAATATATACTTGGTATGGAACAAACCTATTGTTTAAAACTAAACTTTGTTACGTGAAACTAATCATTTTAATATAATAATAAAACCCCTAATGTCATGGTTCTTGTTTGATCATTCACTCATCTCCACTAAATAGGGTACCTGGGATTTCATCTAAGCCCCAAAATTGATCATTTTCTTCACCAGCAACTGCACAGCCACCATTTTCTTCAGGTTGAACAGATGTTCCATCAATATGATCTTGCTGTCTGCCCAGAAAACATTAGTCAGAACAATCAGTGCTGTCTAGTTTGCAAAAACTCAAAAATAAAAATGACGGTTAAACACACATTACTTCCAATTTTATGTTCACTTAAAATATGTTACTGATTTTGTCAAGTACCAATACACCAAAAAGGTTTAACTATTAGGTGTAAACACACAGTTGGTTTTCAACTTTTCATATCTCTAATATGGCTGGAACACGGGGCTCGAAGCATGGGCAATGCACAAATACCAACTTTGTGATGAAATTCAATTTTTTATTAACAAGAATGGTAGCAGAGAAGATTAAACTACTGAAAACAAGGCCATAAACGCCCTGATACTGTTTCAAGGATGAGTTATCCCTAAAGCTTAAACTGTTAGGTGAAGGTACATGCTTGGATTCATATTTCTTTTTAGCCTAACTGGCTCTATCAAGTATCAACAAGTTATTTACAGTCACCTTCCTTACCATGAAATCAAAATTATGGGGAAAAAAATAAAACATGCAACTAGAAAAATTGGTATGAGTATGAGTATTGTAAACAAAGCAAAGATTTTGATACAATGTTAACAGACTGGTAGGGTAAGAACTGAGCTTATACTTGCACAATATTTGGTCAAAATGGATGAATGGGAAGTTCAAGTTTAAGTAAAAAGAATGGAACAAAATATCAAAAGAGTAATCTGTGCCATACACATTGATTATCTTTAAAAACAAATTATGGTACTTGCAATCTTCATATAAGAAATATTGATAGTTCATAGTTATACAACATATTATAGATTATGAGTTTACTTGAATTTTCCACTAGTGTATTAATTGTTTCAGATTGATTGCATAGAAGTTTTATATCCATTCTACCCCACTTTTATTTTAATATTATGAATATGATTCACAATTTGAATGGAAACAGAAAATAGGAATGATAAGTGTGTGCTTGGTTAAAATTTAAGAACACACGTATAGTTGACGCCAAGTCACTTCCGACCCAAAGTTACTCCTTGTAGCTTCCAAAATTTACGACAAAAACACAAAAAATGAAGGAGAGGACGTGAAACCAACACGGAACCAAACAAACACTAAATAAATTGTCCCAATACAAAAACTGAATAGATCAGCCAAACTTTGACTTCTATTTCTATCAACTTTTTTCAAGATATTCTTTAGAATGATCTCAACAATAATTGCGTCAGAATTAGTGAACTGACAATACCAATCAAATATAACAACTATAACATCACTCAACACTTTATTCACTTAAGGCTTTCTTGCATGCTTTCCTCTAAAGCACAGATACTCCTAAAGTCAAGTAACGCACATACCAGGTACTTATCCGTACCCATTACATGTTAAGTACTCACAGCTGTTGGATGCATACTGGGATGCACCACAAAAAGAAAAAGAAATGAAAATTCAATTTGGGTACTCTTTCTCTGGGTGAACCAAATTTAGAGGCTATTATTTTTACTAATGATAGACAAGGAGATGATGAAATTAAAATTGTTAGTGTGATATCGCAGTCATGCTTAGGTTTTACAATATTGATTGATTCTTTTAAGGAAATAATATTGCTTGTTTAAACAATTTATGTTTTTAATTATTTTTTCATTATGAGATAATCCTTTTGTTATGTTGAAGAATTTAATCTCATACAAGTTTATGCTTAGCTGTGTTCTTTATCATTTATACAATTTAGCCTAGTTTCTACAAAATTCTATTTTCAAAATTTTATATTCTCGTACTCAGTACCATTTCCCTACTTGTAATCCATACTTGAACCGGGTACCAATTCCCTATCCGTACAACATTTCATTTAAACAAAAAAATTCATTTAAACAAAAAAACAGACGGGTGCCATGATTTCCAATTTGACCAAAGACATCATATGTAATGCAACTATGGCACATCATGTGTAATACTTATTCACCAGTTAACATGACATCTGCAACCAAGTAGAAAATAAAAGCCGGAACATTTGTTTGCCTCTGACATAAAAATAAATAAGGTAAAGTTCTAACGCTGAAGCAGATAATTAATTTTTTTTTCCTAATGTTCAAGGTTTCAAAAAACGGTATTTCGGCTACAATCTCATGGTTTTTTGGGTGTCTGCGATGCCTCTCCCCAAACAAATTAACAAGACAGAGAGAGGGGATTGCAAATTACATAAGAAAAAGCAAACACAGACTAAAACTTTAACTAAAAAATCAAACCTTTTCTGAGAAAGAAACTCCAAAGCACGCAAGACCAAGGTGTAGAGATACTCGACCTTTCGACTATACACCTGTATGGAACCCTGAAGCAGCAGAGCAGCTACAATTACCCAGAAACAGCTAATTCAGTTGAACACAAACCTTAAAACACTAAGTGGTAACTTTCAAAAGACAAACGAGTACGATGCGCCAAACCTTCGGCGAAATTAACAGGAATATGTCCTTCTTCTTCGCTGGTTATCTCGCCGGAGCAAATTTTCAGAAGATACTCCTCAAGCTTCTTGGCGAGGTCAACTTCCCAATTGGATTCTAGGTCACGCTCCGCGTGAACCTCGTGGAAGCCACCGCCTCCACTCCCACCGGGATCCGAGATGCCCTTAGTCATCTTTAGTGGACGAAATCGCTGCGCAAATCATGGTAAGGTCGCAATTTTCGTCGCCAGAAACCAGAAATGGGGAAAACCCTAGGGTTTCAGTTTTCCGGCAAGGAGTTGGAGAACACCGAAAACGATAAGTACGGTTTTGAAATTCACTAGGAAACGCAAAATGGGGTGCCGGAAAGTTCGAAGCTTGTGTGGTATGCTACAGAAGGGGTAGAGAATTTGGCAGCAACTGTGTGTGTGAGAGAGAGAGAGACGATAGGATAGGAGAGAGAAAGAGCGTTCAAAAGTTTCGATTTGTTTTTCCCGCTCGCTCCTCGATCAAAAATCAAAAGTAAATTGGGCCTGATTCATGGGCCACTCTTAATTCAAACCAATAGAAAGTTAAATAAAAAAGGTAAGACGGTGCTATTCACACCTTCGTTTTGCTCCTGCACCCTCCACCTTGTGGGTTTTCAGTTCAAAACTCACCAAATCACTTAAACACAATATATATAAAAAGTTACTTTTGATCTAGTAGTTTGAAATGTATATTTTTTCTTTGGTTCACCGAACCTAAATGATAAAATAAACACGTCCTAAACATATTTAACAAAAATCTTGAAATAAGAAAATGTTAAGTTGATTCTATTCACACCTTCTTTTTCTTTAACCTTTTAAGTATCCTTAACAAAAATTTTGAAATAAAAAAGAGTTAATCATTCATACATTGTTAGTGTAAAACTTTTTACACTGATAACCAATCATATCTTTTAAATTATTTTATTTTATTATTATTTCATTAAATAAGCAACTGACATGACACTATTAAAAGATATAATTGATTGTCAGTGTAAAAAAATTTTACACTAGCAGTGTATAAGTGATTAACTTATATAAAAAAAAATCTTATTCTCAATGCAAGCACTTTATTACACCCTCTTATTCTCAATGCACTTTTGCGTTTTTCCTTTTTAATGCAAGTGCGTTATCAATATTTTTATAGAAATTTAGCTTTGGTAACTATCCTAAAATCAATTTTTGTAGTGTATGCAAGTGTGTCAAAATATTCTACAAAATTAGTTTCTATTGTGTAATTGTGTCTATGAAATTTAGTTTTTGTGGTGTAATTAATTTAGTTATTATTGTTTAATTTTTATTTTTGATTATGTAATTTATTAAGTTTTATGAGTTGAATAACTTGTTAAATATTATATTAATGTATTTAATTTAGTTAATTTGTATGTTTAATTAATTAATTTAAATGAATTTAATAGTATGAAAAATTAATAAATAAAATGTGAGGTCAAAGAAAGTTAAACTATATCAACATAATCATATACAATAAATATGTTGGGTACAAAATAGTACTTCTAAAATGAAATTCAATAAAAACAAGTCATGAGTAAGGCTTACCCATCTTTTGATATGTACAACTTGCTTCAATGCTTACTTGTGCAACTTTCGAAGCCTTCCATGTAGATTTTTGAATGTCAATTCCCTTGATTTAATGTTTGTTGTTCAATACATGGTGAATATACATACATACATGTATATATAAATAACTTATCAAACAAGTATATGGGAGTCACTCAAACTATACTCAATCTAGTTGCCTGTAGGGAGTTACATAGGTACTTTTAGAGGATCTCTCTCTTAAGAAAATATGATGTATGGATGGGAATGTAGTGGAACCAAGGAATGTATCCATCCATGCTCCATGTTGGATTAGTCCACACATTCCTCTAGTGACATTGTCAAGAATGAGATCAATATATCAAATGAATATTTGATTACACTCTTGAGTGTCAAATATGTGAGCCATAATGACGTGGTGAGTAAAGAATTCCTTATATATGTCCAAATTATCGTATCACCCTCTCTGGTAGATGGATGCACAATATTGAGTTTGATATAATGAAGTCCAAAAAATATGAGATATCTTGGAAAGGTCGCTCCTCTATATAGGCTTCATAAGGCATCCAAATGACTTTCTTTGTCCACAACCCATCTAGTGCAATTCAAGTGATGAATATGTCACCATTGTTATAATCTCCCATAAATGGTAATTACGAGGTGCCAATGGCTGAAAAGTACTCAAAGATCCAAACTTATAAACCATTAACATAATTGTCGTAAAAAAAGAAAATACAAAAGCCAAATAAAGTAAAATGAAATTAACTGGTACCTGTACTGTCCGCATCGAGATGTCGAGCTTGAGCTCGACACTGAGACATTAAATGACATCGGCCAAAGCAAAGACTCACTATCTACCGGGCCGAGGTCAACCTCAGGCCCAAGTCAACGTTACCCTCGCCTAAGATGAAAACCCTAATTCACATCAAGGTACGTGTACTATATATATGAGACGATTACATTATCAAAGACTAACTTTAGCATCGAAGTCTCTTTTACAGGTACCACCCCCACTTCGGAGCAGCCGACGTACCCAACAAAGAAGGCTCACCAATCTTGCCCAGCAAATTGTCCCCCTTGACCGATCTCCGGTAAGAACAGTACCTATAAGAGAGTCATATATCCTCGAAACAACTTTGTATGATGCATACTAACCATTATGAGTTAACTGTAAAGGTATAATAAGGTAGAGGCACCCCATGCATACTCCATGCATCTATCAAGGTCATAGAAAAACTCTAAGAATGCCATGTCGACTCATGTGTATCTTTTGTTTACAAAGATGATATAACCCACCAAATACAATAAAAAACAATTGTTAAAATGATGTTCCTGAACTTGACGTGTGCATTGTATATAAGTTCTACAACTAGGTCAATTATATGTGTGGTTCTCACGTTGTATCAACAAAAGCTTCATCAAAGGTGACCCTAAAAGTAGTTACATTAAATAAATGTGTTCCTTTAGTTGTTACAATGCATGTAGGAACATAGTCTCCCAACTATTGGTAAATTTAGGAGAAATGACACATCATTTAAAGTGATGGTCATCACTCCAACTAGAAGGTGGAATGAACTAGCTTCCTTGTGCCAATGCTTAGCATAAAAGGACAAGATGTCTTTGTCCACCAAGTGGTAGCGTGCCTATAAAAATGTTCATATGGTATCACATTTCTCATCACATTCATGCTTAACATTGAAAGAAAACATCTTCTTATGCTTCATGCTTAACCATATTCAGCTTAAGGCAGTCTTGTCCTTTCCATATAAACATGTTGTAATATAGTCTACAAAAGACCTCAACACAAAAAGGTCCTAAGGTCCTTAAGCCTTGAAAAAACAAAAAGGTTCAATAGTCGGGTTTACTATTGGTACTTCAAGCTTAAGAACTTGTACCTAGGGCTTAGAGTGATAACAAACTCTTATGGCATGCAAACAACAAGTAGGGGTGGAAACATGGTCAAATTTTGGAAAGCATGAGCCTAGTTTGGTTCCTAATTACAAAGTTTGATTTTGGTCTTTTTTACTTATTACAAATTGGTTTCTAAGTCTTGGCCTTACCTATTTCAAAGCTTGGTTATACTTGTTTTAAAGCCTACACTAGCATTTTTTTATATAAGATCTAGAAACAACTCAATAGGCATATAAGGCTATGTAGACCATTGAGTCATATAAGACATTGAATTTTCAAACAATATTTTAAAATAATTAAGTCATTGCTATTTTTTTTCTTCTTATAAAGCATTTTTTGCAACTTCTCAATTATACAAATATATGGAAGCACTTTTCTTTATTTTTATTTGTGCACAAAAATTATGTGCATGCAAGAGTATATGTACAACAAATCTATCTCTGGTGATTCTAAACTTTTCCATTCAAGTATTTATTTTTTATAACATGGATATTCAAATTAAATAAATTATAATGCATTGTTCATTGACATAAAACACACAAAAAAAAAATGAAAGGAACATTTGAAGAGTTGATATACTTTTTTAGTTTTCTAATTAATATGAACCAATAATTATTATTTTTTATGTATAAGAAATTTTTTTCCTTAAATTCAAACTTATGAGGTTCTACTTTTTTATTTTCTTATATTAACTTATAATTTTGTTTTCCAACTTTATTATTTTCTTAAGTTAACACTTTATAACTTAACATTAGGGTTCTCTAATCACTAAACATTCTTTACTTAACAAGTAACATCAAACATGACAAAACATACATGAAAATCATATAGGAAAAATAATAGTGTTACAATTCTCCTAAACGACAAAAATTCTCGTCTTAAAATTTGCTTACTTAGAAAGAGATTGGGGTATTGATATCAGATTTTTCCTTCTAGCTCTCACGTGACCTCACCTATGGCATCATCCTATACAACTTTCACTAGACTAATGGACTTTCCCTTTAGTTGTTTTACCTATACTTTACCACCCATATAAGTCTCGTCTCATTCAAGTTTTCCTTAACTTTCACATAATTCAACTTCGCTACATTAGTTAGATCATATACATACCTCCTCAATTGAAAAACATTAAACACATCATGTAGGTTAGACAAAAAAAGGGTGGTAAAATATATGATAAACAAATGAACCTACACAACAAAAGAATTGATAATGTCTAATAAATTAAGAATTCAATTTACTGGACTTTATCACCCTTCTCACTCTAGTAGTGGGTGTTACCTTTAAGAACATATGGTCACCCTCTTCAAACCATAAGGGTTTCCTTCTCTTATTAGCTTAATATTTTTCCTACATTGGGAAATCCTCATCCCTTCTTGAATTTGTCTCACTTTCTTGATTGTTTTCCACACCAATGCTAGTCCAACTGCCAAACTTTCACCTTTCTTATACCAATAAAGAGGCATCTGACATCTTCTACAATACACAATGGCTTAACAAGAGCCATGTCAATGCTAACATGAAAGTTGTTATTGTAGGTGAACTTCATCAAAGGTAGAATCTCATCCCAACTTTTCAAATGATCCAAAACACTAGTTCTTAGCAAGTCCTCCAAGAAATGGATTGTCCTCTCAAACTGACCATGGGTGATATGAAAAATTCAACCTTAACCTGGTACCAAAGACCTGATACGAATATTGACATAACCTAAAAGTAAACCTTAGATCTCCATAAAAAAAAATAATGTTGAAAGGCACCCCATTATCTCCCTAATATACAACTAAGTCAACTTTTCCAAAGAAATTAAATGTTAATATGCAAGAAGTGAGCACATTTCATCAACATATTAACTTGTTGAGTAATGTGTTTCCATAAGTATTTAGTGTTATCTTAGTGTGATGTTACATGTACTCTCATAAATCACATTTAGTAGTATTCACGTGACTCTTTACATTTGTAATTGTTATAGCATTCTAAGAGTTGTTTACAATCTATAAATGTCCATGAATGTACTATAAAGAAACATAGAGAAAAATATTATAAAACTGAGAGCAATTCATTCCCAAATTATCTTCCTTTTATTCTAAGTTTTATGCTTAATTAATAATTATGCACAATATTGCAATTCCTTGAGTCTTAGATATCAACATCACCTAACCAACAGAGTGGTATCAAAGTTGTAGATCATTACAACAAAACAAAGTGAAGAACAACGGCCAATAATAAAACTCTAACAACTAATAAACATAATTTATAACAATGTTTAATTTCCTTTATTTGAAGGAGAAAATTATGATTTTTGGGCCATAAAAATGGAGACTTTGTTCATCTCTTTGGATGTCGCAAAGCTAATACAAATAAGGTGTGAAGATCAAGTCATTATAATTGTGTAACATGCAACATTAAAGAAAAAGAAAATCACAAATTTTTGGAGTTTATAGGATGATTTAGAAAGAAGTCTCATTGACCATATTTCCAAGGATCACGAGAGAAAAAACAACAAAGGAAGCATGCGAAACTTTTCAACAAGAGTTTGAAGGAGATTCAAAGGTGAGGACAATCAAACTTCAATCTCTCGAAAGAGATTTTGAGAATGAAAAAAATGAAAGAAAAGGAAAGTTTAAAAGAGATTGTTTGAATTAGTGAATCAAATAAAGTCCCATGAATATATAATCGATAATTGAAGAATTATTGATAAAATTCTTATTAATTTGACTAAAAAATTTGATCATATGGTGGCTGTCATAGAAAAAAACTAAGGACTTGTCAACCATGATTGTTCAAGGGTTGATGGGGTCACCTAGATCTTATGAGTAAAGATTGTTATGTCCTGTTAAAAAGTCATAATATCATCTCAAAATGATAAATCAACACATAATGGTGAGCCTTTTAGAGGTGGCAAATTTGGAAGAGGAAGAGAAAGATGCTAGTGTGGTAGAAGAGGAAATAATGGAGGATCAAACAAATGGTGCAGAATATACAAGAAGAACAATCATAAAGAAAAATACTATTGGAACAAATTAAGACAAGCCATAATGTTATAATTGCAAAAGGTTCGAACATAAAGGATTGTCACTTTGGCAATCAAATTCATTTGTTGAAGCAGAAAACGGTGAATGGAACTTTTTCTTTACTTGTCAAAGGATAACTCAAGAGCATAAGGATGTATGGTATTTGAACAATGGCCATAATAATCATATGGTTGAAGATAAAGAAGCTTTTATTAACATGGATTTTTCATTTGCCACAAAAGTTAAATTAGGCAATGAAAAATATGTTGAAGTAGAAGACAAAGGCAGCATTGGAGTTACAATAAAGCAAGGAAGTAAGGTAATTCATGATGCTTTTTATGTTCCAAAATTAAATGAAATTTTTTTGAGCATTAGACAACTTTTGGAGCATAATTATTTTTTTTGGATTTGAGAATCAAGAGTGTAGAAATTTTTATTCAAAAGGGAGAATTGTTGTTGTGGTAAAAATCTCAAATAATATAAGCTTTCCACTTTCTCTTAATTATGAGAGAAAACTCAACTTCGTGGCTAGGTTAAGAAAATAACTCTTGTCTATAACATAAAAGACTTGGGCACTTAAATTACAATGGTCTTATGTTGCTTTCTCGAAAGAATATGGTGTTTGGGCAACCAAAAAATGAGAAGAAAAATGGAGTATGTGAAGGATGTATGCTTAGAAGACATCATCGCAAACCATTCCCAAAGTAAAGAGCAAGGAGAGCCAAAGAAATGTTAGGATTGGTGCACACAAATGTATGTGGGACTTAATTATGAGTACCCTTTTTCATGCTCAAAATAGATACTTTATCTTACTTATTGATGAATTGACTCGTATGACATGGGTGTATTTTATGAGGAAAAAAAATGAAGTATTTGATGTATTTAAAAAGTTTAAATCGTTTCTTGAGAAAAAAAGTGGCAGGTTCATAAAAATCTTGAGAAGTGACAGTATAAAAAAGTATGTCTCCAATGAATTTCAAAAGTTTTCTGAAGATGAAGGAGTAGATAGACAACTAACTGATGGTGTATTTAAGAGGGAGAACCAAATTGTGATGGAGATGGAAAAGTCAATGTTTGAGAAAGGAATGCCTAAAAACTTTTGGCCAGGGACTATTAATACTACAATGTGCCTGTTAAATAGATGCCCAACAAAACTTATTTGAAACATGACACCATTTGAAGCATGTAATGGAAGAAAGCCTTCATGGAACTATATTAAAATTTTTGGGTCTGTTTCTATGCTTAAGTTCCAAAAGAAAAAAGAACAAAGCTTGAAGAATCAAGTGTGAGATGTATCTTTATTGGTTATAGTTCCATGTCAAAGGGCTATAAATTTTACAAATTGAAGACTAATAAGGTGATCATTAGTTGAGATGTCTTATTTGATGAAAAGGCTTTATGGGATTGGCAAAAAGAAAAGGTGGAGGAAAGTTTTAATAGCTATTTTGCTAAGAATTCAGCAGCTGATGAAAATAAGGAATTAACCCAAATACACCAAGATTCTCATTAAATGCCCCAAACTCAAGTTCATCATCTCCAAGCTCAAACCCTAAAAAAATAAGAATTTTGAGAGATATTTATGTAACATGTAATCATTGTATTGTGGAACCAAAAAACTTTGAAGAGACAATTAAAGAAGAAGGTTGGAGGAGGGCCATGCAAGAAGAAATTAATGTAGTTGAAAAAAAAATGTGGGAGTTGATTGAGAAGCCAAATGACAAAGAAACTATTGGTGTGAAATGGGTGTACAAAGTAAAACATAACCTAGATTACCAAATCCAAAAGAATAAAGCAAGACTTGTTACAAAGGATTATTCACGACAACTCAATGTTGATTTTGAAGTGACTTTTGCTCTTATGGCTTGTTTAAACACCATGAGACCTTTAATGTCCCTTGCAGCTAAAAAATGGTGGAAATTATTTCAATTGGATGTGAAGTTAGTATTTTTGAATAGTGAATTGAAAGAAGATGTCTTTATTAAGCAACCTCAAGACTTTGTGATTAAAAGTCAAAAAGAAAATGTTCATAAGCTGAAGAAAGCTCTTTATAGGTTGAAATAAGCTCTATGAGTATGGTACAACAACATTAACAGTTACTTTATAGAGAAAAGTTTTGAGGGGAGCAAGAATGAGCCTACCTTATATGTCAAACAACAAGTATGATTGGTATATATTTTAATTGTTGCATTGTATGTGGATGACTTGATCTTCACCAAAAATAATTTGAAGTTGATCAAATATTTTAAAATAGAAATGATGGAGAGATATGAGATGATCAATCTAGTCTTGTTGCATCACTTCCTTGAAATAGAACTTTATCATGATAATGATGGAGTTTTTATTTGTCAAAACAAATATGTTGAGAAAGTATTGAAGGAGTTTGGATGTTTGTGTGTAATCCAACTGATACACCGCTAGTTGTAAATGAAAAATTGAAGAAAGATGATGCACGAAAGAAAGTTGATGCTAACAATTATAAAAGCCTAATTGGTGATTTATTTTACCTCAATAATTCAAGGCTTGGTATCATGTTTGCAACAAGTTTACTTTCTTGCATTGGTTCATGAATAGTTCAAGTAATATCCATCTAGGTGTAACAAGAAGGGTGCTATGATACATTCAAGGCATTCTAGAAGTTATTTTTAGTCTATAAATGTCTATCAATATACTATAGAAAATTAGAGAAAATAATAATAAAATTGAGAGCAATTCAATCCCAAATTATCTTCTTTTTATTCTAATTTTTATGCATAATTATGCATAATATTATAAAAAATAAATTCTTTAAATGTTAGATACTAACATCATCTCTAGAATACCACCAACATAATTATCACACATATAACATCAATACCCTCCTCACTGATTTAGACAAACTCACGACAAAGTCTATGCCAATGGTATCTCACTTCTACTATTATGAGACTTTTATGGACCACAACACTCCATGGTGCTTTTGATGCTCCACTCTAACTTTTTAATGATTCTTACTTTTTTTTCTTAATTTATTAAATTTTTACTCTTTCACACCTCGTCAATGATCATAGTGCTTTAGGGCCAACCCAAACATATTTATAATTAAGCTTAAAGTAAACTTTGTGATGAGATATTATTAAAATTAATAACTTAAAAAAAACACAAATAGCAATGTTTTATTAAAAAAGTAGAAGATTAACAAGATATCAAGTTTTTCCTTGAGCAAGATTCTAATCTCATTTGTCAAGGAAAAATCACAATTATTTACAATATATATATACTTGATGAACTAAATAAAAATCATGTATATACAAAATAAACATTGGGTTGGTTAACCTCATTTTGGGCTAGTGCAATAGGATTTTAGGCTGAGGCTTTGGGACCTGCACCACTGATAGGGCCAAGCGAGTAGGGTACCCCAGAATTAACGATCCAAGAATCACTTGATGATGAATTAGCGAGTTCAAAGAACTTCCCAGGATAATAATCAGCTGCTTCGGTAGCGGTTATAGTCTTAACACCTTTCCATTTAACTCTACCCGTTGTGACAGCACCAGCGCCTTTGTTATTATACTCATAATATAAACATGTTTCTTTGAATGAATTTGAAGCAAATTCCTCATACCCTTCTGGGGCAAAGGAACCATCAATTTGAGAGTCCATGAACACCACCTTAGAGTATGGCTTCCATGGCCTTCCAAGAAGTGCTATCTTAGGATTTGCGCTAAGCACTTTGGGTTCCCCCATGATGTTGCAGCTTTGGAACACAAGGGCACTAGGACTATTTTCTTTTATTCTACCACCAGCTGTCACTAAGCTTCGGGCTCCGTGTAAAGGTTCTTTTGCAACTAGTGTGCAGCTTTGGAACACTCCAACGGCATCCCCAAAGATAAAGTCAATGGTGCCTTTAATGGTGCAATCACGATAGAATTGGCGTTGGGATTCAGCAAAAAGGGTATCTTGGAATCCGTCAATAAGGCAATTATGGAACACAGCTTGGTCTGCTGCTACTAGAAGTGCCACTGCTTGTTGTTTTACAGACCCTGCTGTGTTTTCAATTCCAATATCTTTTGCCATGAAGTTTGCACCATGAACACCTGCCAATTAATAAGTTACAACAAGCTAGTTAGGGAACCAAATATTAGTGTCACACCTTCGTATCTCTATATTCTTGCAAAAGTACAAAACTTAAATACAATTTTTTTAGGTGAGGTTAGTGCCAAAGTTTTACCTAACTAATATGTGAAGATGTATATAAATTTTCAATTTTGATTGGACAACAACACCTACCACACTTAAAGAAACTATAACTAAAAAAAAGAATTTTCTATATTTACCAAAGGTAGCAGTGTTGTAAGTTAAGACTCCATCAACAACATTTAAACTGCCAGTGAATGTAGTTTTTGTAGGACCATCTCCAATAACCGTGACATGGGTCATCCCCTTGGCCACATTCACAGTTTCTTTGTACACACCAGCCTTGACTTGAATGACAAAAGGTTTAGCATTATTGGGGGGAACAGTCTTGAGAGCATCATTGAGTGTTTTAAATTGGCCAGACCCATCTTGGGCCACAACTGCATTGGGCTTAGCACTCCCAGTTGCAGCCGCCTCAAGAAAGCGTCGATTCCCTTCATTCACCCACGAGAGGAAACCATTCTCATTTGTTGCTTCATTAGTGAGAAGTCTCCTATTGGCAATTTTATTTGCTTGGTTACCTTTTTGATATCCAGTGATTATGTTGGTCATATCCAATGCATTGCTACTAAGCTCCATAGAGGCACTCAAAACCTGAAGCATTGCGCCACCAACTTGTGTTTTTGCGTTCTCAAAGCCTTGCAAGCAAGTAGTTTGGTGAGAAATACTCCCCGTGAGCCAAACCTTAAGGTCATAAATGTGCTGACTCAACGTTTCCAGATCAAACTTGTTCAACACCTCAGTAGATTTGATAATGGCATCAACTGAATAGTCCAACACTTCCGTACAAATATCCATAGCTTGCTTTGCCATGTCATTTTTGGCTATCTCTTTATAAAGGGTGGCATTGTTTATGTGTTTTGAAAGTTCCACTATTGTGGCATTGAACCCAGCTTCAACTAGCTTCTTTGGGTCTGTGGCTACAAAAAGTTGATTCCCAAGGCTTTTCTTGCATGCATCTTGGTATTGTGTTGATTGACAAAACGATTCTCCGTTAGCCTTTGTGTTTAACACATTGACATTATTTGCTTCTGCATTAGCTCCACCTTCTTGGTTTAAACCTAATGCTATAGGCACCATAGCCACAAGGAGGATTGAAGAGATGCCAAGAATGGCAAACCTTCTTTGTTGTTCATGGCCATTGTTATACCCACCCATATCACTTGTAATTGTAAATGATAATTTTCTTTTTTTTCTTTTTTTCTTTTTTTCTTTTTTGTTTTCCCTTAACAAGAGAGAAATCTTGTTGTGTTTTTCAAAGTTCTATTAGGCACTTATTTATATCTAACTTGTTACTATTTTTTACTAATACATGCTCTAAATTCTCTGAAAATGGAAGGTAGAAAATGGTCATGAAATAGAGGGCGTTCGTAATGTTTGTGGAATATGTCCACACACGTTGCCTAATTCCTAGACTTTGAGAACATAAATTAAAATGACCAGTGATCGTTGTCTAATTTTGGCACATAATTGTATGATGATTAAAAAAGGTATAGTTTTTTAAATCAAGAGGATCTCCTTGAATCAAGAGGTCTAGTGCCAATCTTAGTGTTTGATGTGTACTCTTGCATGAACTTTGTTGTTATTTTGGTATATAGTTATATCTTCAACCTTGAATTTTTCAAATTCGTACTTTTAACCTAACGTTTATTTATACACTAACTAGATTTTAAACCGCGGTTATGAATAATTGTACATGATATAATTTAAAGATATTATAAATAATTTTAAAAATTCACAAACATAAAATAAATTTATCATTTTGATCATTTTTGTGTTGTAAAAATATTCTATTATGGAATTACTTGAATTTTGAGAAATTAAATATCACAATCTGTATCAAGACTTTTGAGAAATTATATGCCATTTTAATATGTTGAATTCTTTTGTGACAAATATGATAAGATAATAGGCATTTATTTAATAATGTATTTTTCATAACATCTTTCATTTATATAATAATGTAAAAATATTGAGAGTAACTATAAATATATATATATATATATA